CAGCGGCGGCGGCGGCAGCGGGTGCGTGGTACAGCATCATCATCAGCAGCAGCAGCAGCAAGGCACGACGTCGCCGTCGTCATCGCTGGGTGAGGTGACGGAGTACGGGTCGGCACTCGACCTCAGTCTACACAGCATCCTGGCGTCGTCAGCCGGATTCTTCAGCAGCATGTGAAGACGACCGCTGCTACGCTACAACTCAGCTACTATTACACTTACAGCTACAGCTACTACTACAGCTACTACTACACTTACAGCTACAGCTACTACTACAGCTACTACTACAGCTACTACTACACTTACAGCTAACTACTCCACAGCTACTACTACAGTCTTACAGCTACTACCTACACGCGTACTACTAGACAGTTACACTACTACTGACAGTTACAGCTACTACTGACACTACTAGCTATACAGTTACAGCTACTACTACAGCTACTACTACAGTTACAGCTACTACTACAGTTACAGCTACTACTACAGTTACAGCTACTACTACAGCTACTATTACACTTACAGTTACACATGGTCACTACAACCTACACCGTACTATTACACTTACAGCTACACTTACAGCTAGCGTAGCAGCTACTACTGCATCACTTACAGCTACAAGTTACAGCTAACACTTACAGCATACATGTCTATAACACTCAACTCCCCGACCCACCGCAGCTACTACAACAGCTACGATTACAGCTTTATATGAGGATTAGCTATCTCACTAGCTACTTTACAGCTTTATATGAGGATTAGCCTCAATCGCAAATATCCTCCTTATCAAGAGAGCTTTATATTTGCAAACGATTAGCAGCTAAACTAAAACTTGACTTAAGGTGAGCTTATGAAGGTGAGCAATTGTATAAGCTTTATCGTTCTACAGTCTTACTTAAACAGCTTATTAAAGAGGATTAGATATGCTCACCCTAACCATTACTTTTATAGAAGGTCTATATTAAATAATAAATAGTGGATTTTTAGTGCTACATCGCATCGTAAGACTAGCTACGCCAAAAATCTGATTTGACTATGACTGAATAGGCTATCTCCGACAATGGCTAGGTCCTAGCATAACACGCTTTACTGATTAATATAGCTACTCTCACCACAAGCTCAGTTATACCTTCTACCCAAGCGAGGGAGGTGAACGTATTACCGTTAGGAGCATAATCGTGTGTACCCCGAGTCATTTCGAGAGCGAATGCTATGCGGTGCACCCTGCTTGCAAAGTATCTTTGCTAACGTTCACACTGCAACACCCCGGTAGCTGCCCAGAGCAACAACTGACGCGAATTCCACAGGGCCCACACCATGGACATAGCAAGACTATTGAACTGTGTAGACGACTTAATAGAAGTATACCTGAGTTTGTTTACAAACGCAGCATAGTGGCCGGATACCACATGAGATAGCATCGCCATCTTAGTTGAGAACTCACGAATGTAAGACAGGGATAAGAAAAATCTGCTGTGTCGTTCTTAAAGCCTCGGTCACAAGCCGGGATTTTACGTTTGTTATTTCAATACAAGTATACACAACATTTAAATACTATCAGTACAATCAGAACGATCAGACAAACGATCAGACCGACAAACAGACAGCAAGGGAGCAAACAGTCAAGCCGACCAACAGTCAGACACGACAATACAGACAGAGACACAGAACCACAACAAGAGCAGCACAGACAACCCGACAGACCAGACAAACATGACAGAGCCCAGACAAACACGACCGACCAGACACTACCACAGATCGACGAGACACAGACAGACAGACAAGACTAGACGAGCATCCAGAATAAACAGAACACAAAAGCCGACGAAAACATGACAGACCATGACACGTGAAATCAGACAGGACAGACAAAACAGACAGACAGATCAACACAGAAGTCAGACAGACAGACAGATCAACAGAACAACAGACAGACACGACAGCCAGACAAACAGACAGAGCAAGTCAGAAACCAGACCAGACAGACCAACAGACAGACAGACAAACAGACAGACAGACAAACAGAACAAGACAGACAAAACAGACACGAGCAAGACAAATACAGACAGACAGACAACACCCACCAACCAGACATATATCAGAACAAGACAGAGACAAACAGCAGCACAGGCGCTTAACATTATGAGGCTGAGATATCAGCAGCTGGAGCTAAAGACGTGTGTATACAATCCGTATCTGATAATGATCAAAACGTATTATACGTGAGAATGGTGACGCGCACGCGCAATGCAATAAGGTGATCTGTGGCGTGTGCATGCTAGTAGTGATCTAGTACATATTAACCGAACAAGTGAAGCGGTGATTGGGCATTTGAATGTGCTTGGATGTGCGCGCGGTGGGCACGTATTTATAATAGCTGCGCTAATGAGCATTTCTAGTGTCCTTTATTCTTCCTGCAGGCATTACGCATATCTGGCCCAAATTTGGCCTATTTGGGTCATTATTGGGTCGAGAAAACAGATAGTGTTCTGTTCACTAATTG